AAAATTTAAATAATTTGTTTTGTATAAATAAGAATAAGCCTAAGGCTTTGAAAATACTTGGATATTTTTTAATTTAATTTTATGCTTGGTTGCTTGGATGCTTGGTTGCTTATGCTTGACGCCAGCAAGTAAGATTACGCTAAGGTTGTGCCAAAAAAGCGTGCCCTCAAAAAAATTTGTATATTTACATATACAAATTTTATAAGCCCTGATTTTTAAAAAATTTTTAAAAAAGAATATATTCTGCCCTCGTCTTATAAAATTTTTAAGGCGCGATAAAAAAAAAAATTATAATTTAATTATAATTTTTTTAAGCACCGGAATATAAAAATTTTATTATCCCAAGCCTTAATAAAAATTTTTTTAGAAAATAAAAATTTTTATTTCGTAGTAATTTTTTAAAATTTTTATTTTTTTTTTGTCCTAGGGCTTTATACTAACTAATTATCAAACGAATAAGCTCTAAAGTATAAATATTTTATTTTAACAATTTTTTCACCCCTAAATAAAATTTTTATATCCTAATAAAATTTTTGCGAGCTAAAAAAATTTATAAATAGTTACTTTGTAACTATTTAATAAATTTTTTAAACTACGGCCGTAGTCGTAGCGACCTTAAAAAAAAATTATAAATAGTTACAAGTAACTATTTATAATTTTTTTAACTAGCGCTTATAAAAATTTTATATATAATAAAATTTTTAAAAGCCCCGATATAGATATAAAAATTTTATAAGCACCGCTTGCGCGAAGCTAAAGCATCCGCTAGCACCGCTTTGTGATCTTTGATCGTGGCCGCGAAGCGAAGCAGCGCAATAAAAAATTATAAATAGTTACTTGTAACTATTTATAATTTTTTAAAGGACTAAAGCACAGACGCGGCGAAGCAGTTAAAAAAATTATAAATAGTTACTTGTAACTATTTATAATTTTTTGTTAGCGCTAGCGCACTCTAGCGAAGAGCGACTAAAGCATCGCTTCGCAGGAAAGAACCGCGGCTCTTCGCTAGTTAAAAAAATTATAAATAGTTACAAGTAACTATTTATAATTTTTGTTTTTTTTAGCAAGCGGTGCAGAGCAGCAAAGCAGCAAAGCTGTAAAACAGTTAAGCAGCAAAGCTGAAAAGTAGTTAAGCATAAAAGTTTCTAAGGAGTAAAGCATAAAAGCAGCAAAGAAGTAAAGTAGTGAAGCTAAAAAAAAAAATTGTAAGTGAGCAAATTAAAATAATTAAAACATAATAAAATTATTAACTTTTCTGAGGTTGTTTACTGCGCTTATCAAAATTTATCTCTGTGATCTTTTGCTTCGCTTCGTAAATTTTTATATAAATATCAAAATTTACGGAGCGAAGCAGTCCGAATGCCGCAAGCAACACTAAACAAGTGGTTATGTTTGAAATTTTTAGGGTAAAACAGTAAAAGTCACTGAAGGTCCTTCAAAATTAAACACTTTTAAACAGAAAATTTAATATTCAACTAGGCAAGATTTAAATTTGTAATTTAAGCGTAAAACCAATGGAGGTAAAAAGACAATATAAAATAAAAAAAATATTTTTTTTTTATTACAATAAAGGCAGTGCAGTAGCGACGTTGTATTTATTTATTTTTAGTTTTGCTACTGTAGCGATAGGGCTAAAAACAAAAAAATTATAATTTTTGTAAGAACGGCTGTAGCCGTAGCTAAAAAAATTATAAATAGTTACTTGTAACTATTTATAATTTTTTTTTTTTAGAATAGCGCTAAAAAAAATTATCACAGAGTTATAAATTTTTTAAGGGATAATTATATAAAAATTTTATAAGCCCTAGCGTCGCTTGCTTGCGCTAAAAAAAAAATTATAAATAGTTACTTGTAACTATTTATAATTTTTTTAACTAGCGTCTGGCGTAGCCCTTGCTTGCGCTAAAGCATCCGCTTGCGCGATTGCCTTCGACCGCTTGCGCGACTAAAGCATCCGCTTGCGCGAAGCTAAAGCATCCGCAAAGCAAAGCATCGCTTCGCAGAGAAGGGCTAAAAATTTTAAATTTTTTTGTTTTATAAAAATTTATAAGTTTTGATATTCTTTAGCTAAAGCTAAAGTTAAAAATGAATATATTCTGCGCTTATAAAATTTTTATATTACGGTGCTGCGCTTAAAAAAAATTATAATTTAATTATAATTTTTTTTTACCGTGTTATAAAAAAAAAAATTTTTTTGTTTTTTAATATTCTTAAGATTTACAGTAGTAGAATAGTCTTTATCAGAATTGAACTGATACTATCTGGTTGAAGGGCAGATGTACGACCTTTATACTAAAAGACCCTTTAATTTGACATACGGGTTTAGCTGCTAAGCACTTTAAATTATAACTGTAAAAATTAAAAACCAAAAAAAAATTTTTTTTTTTTTATTTTTTTTTTTTACGTATTGACCCTAAGGCAAAGTGAGTTGACTTCGTCAGGGCTAAGAAACAGGTTTAAAAATATATTTATATTAAATTTTAACTTATTGCTTAAACCTAATTTTAGATTTTATTAGCGAGCGCCGCATAAAAATTTATTTAAAACAGAATATATTCACTTTAACAAATTTTTAGACAAGGGCCAAGGTGTAAATGAAGAATTGATTGTTATAGAAGGGGGTAAAATTTGACAAACGATTTAATTTATTTCACTAATTAGCGACATCCGGAATTGAACCTGATCTAACAGCTCATGAGGCTGTTGTGACAACCTTTACACCATATCGCTTACAAAAGTTTAAATTTTTGTAAACACTATCGAGGAAACAAATTACGAACAAAGAGACTCGAACTCTTAAGGGATTTAACCCACTTCTGCTTAAGAGAAGATTGTTTACCAAATTTCAACATGTTCGTTAATTATGAATTTGTAACTGTGCTGCGCTGCTAAGCAATTCTAGCGGAGAGGCTAAACATTTAAACTAAAACAATAGTTTAAATTTATTTTAAATTTTTTTTTAAGCTGTAAAAAACAAAAATAACAATATAGTTAAAAAATTGTTTTTATTTTTAATTTTATTAGCTTGATGCTTTGCTTCTATCGCTGGCTTACCTTATAAAATTTTATCGCTTTGATCTTTTGCTAGGCTCGATGCTTTGACCGCTTGCTTAAAAAAAAAAAAGATAACAGAGCATCATAGAAGCCGCAGCGATCAAAGATCAGAAGAAGGCAGCAAGCAATTAAAAAATTTGATTACAATCAAATTTTTTAAGAAGCCGCACAAATAAAATTTTTATTATTTAATATCGGGGCTAAATAAAAATTTTATAACCACTTTTAAAAAAATTTTAATTTAATTATAATTTTTTTAAGGATGCTGATACTAAAGAAAAATTTATAGGTTATATTTAAGAAGACACCAAGAGGAATTGAACCCCTGAAAAAGGTATTAACAGTACCTCACATTAACCACTCTGACATGATGTCCTAAAATAGGTTTTTGGCACAAATTATTTATTGTGACTTCTACCTTGACTAAGCTACAACAGCTTAGCTTTCGTTGCTTCCATAAGAATTTTTATTATATGATAAAAATTTTTAAGTACCCCTAAAAATTTTAATTTTATATAATATATTGTGGTCATTACTATAAACGGTAGGTGTGTATCGAACACACTTTTTCTCTCACCCAAGAAGAGTACCACGGCCGCTTTGGAGTCTACCGTAAAAAAAAAAAACATAAATAAAATTTTATTTATAATTACGGACAGATAGTATTTTAAATACAAATACAAATTTTATTAGGGCTAGCTATTGGAAAAATTTTTTAAATTAAATTAATATATTTAGAAATAAAAAAAAAAAATTTTTTTTTTATCAATAACTCTTTTAAGTATATAAGCATAATTTTTTTTTTTTTGCACTGACTCTTTCACCCTTGCCCTTGCCCCTGCCTTAAAAAAAATTTTTTAATTTTTTTTTATATGCGCTTATAAAATTTTTATATAAATATACAAATTTATCGCTTGCCCTCCGAAGGCCTCGCTCGCTGCTACCGCTTAAGCGAGCGAAGCGGTGCTGCTCTGCTTCTTCGCTGCTCTGCTTCTTCTGCTCTAGCGAAGGCAAAGCAGTTAAAAAAATTATAAATAGTTACTTGTAACTATTTATAATTTTTTTTTAGCGAAGAGCAGCGAAGCGGTGCTAGAGTCGCTAGCAGCTCTAGCGAAGGCAGTTAAAAAAATTATAAATAGTTACTTGTAACTATTTATAATTTTTTTTTAGCAAAGCATAAATCTATATACAAATTTTATAAGCGCGCTTGCGCGCTTGCGCACCGTGTTATAAAATTTTTAGATTAAAAAATAAAATTTTTTTAGTGCAATTCTTTTTAAGTACCGTAGCTATACATTTGGAGATCCCCTATAAAAATAAATTAGGGGGTTTAAGGGTTACCCACGTTTTCGCGATTTTACATTGTGACACCTCTCTAATAAAATGTTTATATTTAAATAAATAATTTGTGATTTACTAGCGTAGCGCTGATCAAAGATCGGATAAAAGATAAGCGCGCTAGCGCAGTACAGCTACTGATATTCGTTCAACACTCGCCTCTCTGGATATAAGGGACTGAGGTCCCTTGAGGTTTAGGGTTAAAATGAATTTTTGGAGCCTAGATATACTAAAGCACAGACACAAGGCACCGCCGCAAGCGACTAAAGGCAGTGCGCACAGCTAATTGTAAATAAGAGAATAATAATGACCGGTGCTTAAAAAAAATTATAATTTAATTATAATTTTTTTATGACGGTGCTTTGCTGCTTGCTGCGATCGTCGATGCTCTGGCGAAGGCAAAGGGTATCAGAGTGCTCTGATAAAAATTTTATAAGCGCAGGCAGCAAAATTTTATTTTAATTAGCTTTTAAATCTTTTAAACTATACCTGGTGATTATTTGTTTGATTTGTGAGTAATGAAAATAGGAGCTACCATTGCTAATAATAAAATTACACTAGTTATAATTAACCAAAAAGCCCCAAAAGTATATAAACTTTGCCCTAAAGCCTGAATTTGAGTGAAATTAGTAAAAGTAGAATCAGCCAATATAGGATTAATTGTATTATAAACAACATTTAGTGTTGAAATATCTGAAGTTAAAAATAATTCATTTAAGTTTGTGATTAAATTTAATAATGAAGATATCAAGGATACATCATGAATTCTAAACGGAATTATTGTAAAGATTTCATATATAAAAAGTAAACCTATAGCTATTGCTAAAGGAATATTTTTAGTGTATTGAGAACCTGCTTCTAACAGATCACTAAGTCTGATATTTAAAAGCATAATCACGAATAAAAATAATACTGCTATAGCACCAACATATAAAATTATATATGAAATACCTATAAACCCAATTCCTAATAGAATTAAGTATCCTGCAGCATTTATAAACACAGAAATTAAAAAAATAACAGCTATTACTGGATTTTTAGAAGTAATAACCAAAACACTAGAAAGAAGAGCACCAAAAGCTAAAATATCGATAAAAAGATTTTTCATTTTAAATAAAAAAATTAGTAGCCTGCATAATTAATATATTATATATCTTTAATTATACTATGTTATAAGATAAACTGTAACTGTTTTTACCCCTTACTAAGCACAAAGTGCACTGTCGGGTTTAGTATCCGTACTAAAAAAAAAAAACAAAAAATATAATATAGGATTAAAAAAAAATAAAAAAAAAAATTTTTTGTCCGAAGGGCTGCGCACCGCTAAAGCTAGCGAAGCAGCGTGTTATGTTTTTTAAGTGTACAGATAGACCAGTTAGTAAGTGTGGAAAAATTAAGTTAAAAAAGTAAAATTAATCTATAAACATACGAAAGGCTTAACCAAGATATTATAAGAATATCAAGTAGGTTTAACCAAGAGAAAAACAAATAATCTAAAATCAAAATTTAAACACTCTAAAAAAAATTAATAGTAAATTTTTATAAAAAGGCACCCCTATAAAAAATGATATTTTAAATATAATTTTTTTAAGCGCGAGCCTCGATGCTTTGACCGCACCGCTGTGCGCAAGCGATGCCTTTTACTGATGCTTTGCTTTGCTGCGCAAGCTAGCGATGCATCGCTAGCACCGCTTTGTGATCTTTGATCGTGGCCGCGAAGCGAAGCAGCGCAATAAAAAATTATAAATAGTTACTTGTAACTATTTATAATTTTTTAAAGGACTAAAGCATCCGCTTGCACCGCTGTGATCTTTGATCGTTGCTGCTGCGCAAGCGAAAGCGAGATCAAAGATCAAAGTAAAAAAAAAAAAAAACAAAAATTATAAATAGTTACTTGTAACTATTTATAATTTTTTTTAGCATCGAAGCGAAGCAAGCATCCGAAGGCCGCCTTCGACCGCTTGCGCGACTGTGCGCAAGCGGATGCTTTAGCGCAAGCAAGGGCGTAGCCAGAGAGCAGCAAAGCGGTATCACAAGAGAGCCAGACTAATATTGGCTCAAGGTTAAAAATAGGACTTATCCTAATTAATAGGCCTTACGGCATAAATTTATAAACAGATATTTATCTGCCTTATGAATAAAAAAAGGCACTTATAAAAATAGATTAAAATTTAATATATTCATTATTAATCTATTTTTAGTTAAGCAGAAAAAAAAAAAACGTCAACAATTTTAACCTGGTATTTGCTTTTTTTTTTAGAGTTCCTTAAATAATCGCTCCTTCCGACCAAAGGTCTATTGAAGGTTTAACTTAAAAGTCGCGAAAAACCCTAAAGGTATTGAACGTCTACTTAAAATTTTTAAATTTGTTCAGAGAGGTTTTGTTATTAAAAAACACAATAAAAAAAAATTTTTTTTTTTTCTCATAGTAATATAGGTTAACTATTTAAAAAAGTAAAGGGTACAGAAAGAAAGAAAGAAATAAGGGGGTGGAGTAAATAACAAAAAAGCAACATCCTAATAAACGTTAACTTTGTTTCAAAAGTTTCAATTATAATGCAATAAATTTTTAAGTATTTAATACCAAAAAAAAAAGAATTAAATTCTTTTTTTTTAGGATTAATAATAACAGGGTCTGGCGTAGCCCTAGCTGCCTTCGACCGCTTGCGCGACTAAAGCATCCGCTAGCACCGCTTTGTGATCTTTTGCTTCGCTTCGTGGCCGCGAAGCGAAGCAGCGCAATAAAAAATTATAAATAGTTACTTGTAACTATTTATAATTTTTTAAAGGACTAAAGCATCCGCTTGCACCGCTTAAGCGATTGCCTTCGACCGCTTGCGCGACTAAAGCACAGACGCGGCGAAGCAGTTAAAAAAATTATAAATAGTTTCTTGTAACTATTTATAATTTTTTTTTAGCGATTGCTTCGCTGCGCAAGCGAGGCTGTGATACCGCTTTGCTGCTCTCTGGCTACGCCCTTGCTTTAGCATCGCTTGCTTCGCTTCGTTGCCTTAATAAAATTTTGAGAATGCAGCTGCTTGTCAGACTACTAAATTAAAAAAATTTATAACCCATAGTAACAGTGATACTAAAGGCACCTCTCTTATTTTTCCCAGTAAATCTAGAAGTAGTTACAATATCAGTATTACCTCTTTTTATGCTACCTTTTTGCATTATTTTAGTGGTTAATCTTGGTATAATAGGTTGTGTTAATAATCTACCTCCTTTTTTAAGATTAATTCCAGTAAGTACACCAAGTTTATTTGTTTTACTGAATTTGTCAGATAATAATTTTTTAATTTTTGTAGGTTTTACAACTTTAGCTGAATTTAAAAAGAAATTTGAAAGTTTTAAATACCTCATTAGTAATTTATTAGCTAATAATCCTAAAGCATTAGCAGATATTTTACTATCTAAAGAAGGATGAAATAGTCTAGTTAAATCAAGTGTAATTGGTTTATTGAATTTTTTACTTAAAAAAAATATTAAAGATTTTAAATAGTTAAAATTAAGTAGTTTTATTCTTCTTCTTAATAACATAGATTTAGCTAGAGATTTTTTTCCCCTTAAAAGAGATCGTTGAATCATATAATGTCTTCTTCTGGTTAATTTTTTTAAATAATAGAATAAATTAATAGTAATATTATTAGGTGTAATTTCTAAAACCGGTGTACCGATTAAACTTTTCAAACTAAAAAATGAATTTTCTAAAATAGAATTTATTTTAAATTTTTTTTTATTATTGTTAAAATTATATACAATATTTTGAAATTGAGAAATTTCAGGTTCAATTTTAGTAATTGCTCGAATATATTTACCTGTTAATGATTTTTGAAATTTTTGTAATGAATAAGATAATTTTTTTATACCCTTGATTTTTGAGGAGGCGTTCCCTGAGACAGATTCTAATTCTCTCCACTTAGCTAGAGCAGCCACGGCCAAATTAGATTTTTTTGGTTGTACACTGTGATTACTGTGTTGCGCTTTTAGGGTTGAAAGGATTATTTTTAAGATAGGGTTAGTAGTATTGCTTTTTGCAGAAACTGCTGAAACTTGAGATTGTTGTACTACTTTATCTGTATTTACAGCATTTACAACCACTTTAGATTTAATAGGTGTTTGAAGTTTCACGGCTTTAATAATTTGACCATTATTTAATATTTTGTTTGAAGATAATTTTTTTATTTTGTTTGTAAATTTTGTTATATCTAATACTCTTAATTTTAAACTTTTTTCTTTTTTGACCTTACCCAATATAGATTTAAGTTCTAAGTCTACTTTTGTTTTATACTCATTTAAATCTACTTTGTTATGTAGTATTCTTGAGTAAAAAGGCTCTAATTTATTGTTGGTATTATATTTTAGGTTTTGACCTTTTATTTTTAATATTTGTAATTGTTCCATAGATAAAATTTTTATTTTATAATATCTCTCCTATTTAGATACCCCTGTGCTGTACGTTTGGTTTTGCTTCGCTCTGATGCTTTAGTCTTCGCTAAAAAAAAAATTATAAATAGTTACAAGTAACTATTTATAATTTTTTTAACTGCTTCTTCGCTGCTACCGCTTAACGATCGAAGATCAGAGCGAAGGCAAAGCAGAGCAGCGAAGAAGCTGATGCATCAGCAAACCAAGAGAAGCGAAGCAAAAGATCACAAAGCGGTATCAGCAGTAATCAGAGGCTGGAGCTTTGTTTTGAAATGATATTTGTATTTTTTGTTTACTTACTTTTTCTTGCTTTGGACCGTAGTTAATTCCTATTTGCAAAATCTAGTTTCATCAAAACTACAATACATAGATTATTTTTTTTTTTTACTAGAGAGCGTTCTATTACAAATAAATCTCTTAATTTGTGAATTTAACTTTCTGATGCTCTGTGATACCGCTTTGTGATCTTTGATCGTTGCTGCGACTGCTTCGCTTCGTTGCAGCGCTCTGCTAGCGCTGCTCTAGCGTCGCTAGCACCGCTTGCGCGAAGCTAAAGCATCAGCAAAGCAGAGCATCAAGGGCTACGCTAGTTAAAAAAATTATAAATAGTTACTTGTAACTATTTATAATTTTTTTTTTTGCAAGCGGTCGAAGCAAAAGATCAAAGCGATAAATACCTAGTGACAATCTTAAAAATTATCACTATATATTCTTTTTTATAAAAAAATTTAATCCTATAATAGGAATTGATACGATCTTATTTCTACATTGAATAAAATAAGTTACAAAAATAATACTAATGATGGTTAATAATTTATACGAAATACTCTAAGTACTAAGACTAATAAAAATTAGTCATTTAACTAAACACTTATTTATTAATATACATACGTTTTAATATATAAATGTTAATAAAAAATAATTTAAATATTTATATTAATAGTTAAAGTACAATAGCTAATTAGAAAATTTTAAATAATTTAAGGGGCTATGCTTAATTAGCCTTGAAATTAATACTTGACATTTTTGGTATTTAAATTTCAAATTTTGGCCGTGTCTTATAAAATTTTTATATTTAGATCAAAATTTTATTAGGGGAGGGAAAGCAAGTAAATAATTATAAAATTTGCCACCTTTTTATTTAAATTTTTTTAGCTTATTTTAGCCTTTGCCTGATAAAATAAAATTTTGATATCAAAATTATATTTTATTAGTGGCTTATAAAAATTTTATTTAATATAAAATTTTTATTTAGCAGCAAGGGGGTTAAAAAAAAAAAATTTTTTTTTTAACAATTTGTTCCTATTGGACTCGAACCAATAAAAATTTGTTTCGAAGACAAATTGCTCACCATTCGCTTAAGAACATTAAATTTATTAATTACCCTTAATATGAGTTAGTTTGCTTTAAACAAAACAATTGAATCCTTTGCTTAAAAAAAAATGTTTATGCGCTTGAATTAGAGCGCTTATACAAATTTGATTAAATATAAAATTTTTATAAGCGCACAGCCAAGGCTTATAAAAATTTAAAAATTTATAATTCTATTATAAAAAATTTTTTTTTGTAACATATAACCGCTTACGAGTAAAGAGATTTGAACTCTTACGATTGTTTATTATCATAACTTCCTAAAAGTCACCCGGCTACCATTTCGGCACACTCGTTATAAATTAAATAGATTCCTGTTTATTAAAGACGTCGGTTCTATCATAAAGAGACTATAGCAATTAACAGACTAAAAAAAAATTTTTTTGTTTTTTGTTTTGTGTTATTTAAGTTTAAGCTTAAATTTAGAATAAAGAAAGTTTTGCTTAATATGCATTTATATTTATTAAAAAAGGGAATAAGACATTCTGATCCCTTAATAATGTGATAGTGCACCCTGTGCAGCACCCTGTGCGTTGTAGGAAAAATAAAAACAAAAATTTTTTTTTATTATGCGCTTGCGTTTTTAATTCCTTAAACCCGTAAAAAAAAAATAAGTTAAATGTAATAAGAGGTAAGGGATTCGAACCCCTGTCTACAATGTGTAAAATTGTTGCTAAACCACTCAGCTAAACTCCTTCCTTTTTATGTTTAATAAAAAAAATATTGTTATTTCTCCCCTTAAAAAATTATAATCTAATTTTTTTAGGCCTACGGTCTTTGTGCGCAGCCTTATAAAAACGCAGCGCTCCGTTCCTGATGCTCTGCTCCGCACCGCTTCGCGAGAGCAGCGAGCCGGATGCTTGCTTGCGCTGCTACCGCTTAAGCGAGCGAAGGCAAAGCAAAGCATCGCTTCGCTAAAAAAAAATTATAAATAGTTACAAGTAACTATTTATAATTTTTTTAACTAGCGCTGTCTTTAAAAAATAATTGTTATCAAAGATAACTATTATTTTTTTTAACCGATATATAAAATTTTATACCCAGAGAAGCAAGCATCCGAAGGCCGCCTTCGACCGCTTGCGCGACTGTGCGCAAGCGGTGCTAGGGCGTAGCCAGAGAGCAGCAAAGCGGTATCACAGCAACGCTTGCTGCGCAAGCGAAGCAAGCGATAAATTTTTATATTTATTGTTGCTTTGCTAAAAAAAAATTATAAATAGTTACAAGTAACTATTTATAATTTTTTTAACTGCCTGCCTCTGGCTTGGCTTTGATCTTTTATCGGCTTGCGCATGGCTACGCTAAAAAAAAATTATAAATAGTTACAAGTAACTATTTATAATTTTTTTAACTGCTTGCGCAGCAAAGCAAAGCATCCGCTTGCGCGAAGCTAAAGCATCAGCAAAGCAAAGCAAAAGATAACAGAGCATCACAAACAATTTTTATTTTGCAGCCACTGGAAAAAATAGGGGGTTTTTTTGTTTTATTTTCCAGCTACACCTTCCAGTACAGCTACCTTGCTATGACTTTTGAGATGTTACTCAACTGACTTGACTGAAGCCGGTAACCTTAACATAGGTGTTTTACCTTGAGATTAGATTAATTGGATTAATTCTAAAAAGGATATATAATTGACTATAATTTAGCTTAAAACTATAACCTATGTAAAACATTAGTCATACCGCAATTTCCATCAATATAAGCTCCTCCCCAGCGACAGACAGTTAGTTCATCACGAATTTGAAACTTCACCGTTGCGTAATGATCAACGATTACTCGAAATTCCTGCTTCATGCCACCGAATTTCAGGTGACAATCAGGCATATTTTAGTAAATTAACTTTCTTTAATGATTAGCTCCACCTTATTTCCCAGTAATGACTATTTTGCAATAGTTAGTACTATTAATCTATTAGATTTTAATACTTATTATTTTTAAAGCAGTTAGTAATATAACCTAATTTCTTTAAGATTAATTACGAGAGGGTATTGCATCACTTTGTAAAAGTTGTTGTGGCACGTCTATAGCCCAGTCCATGAGGACCATAACGACTTGTCTTCGCCCCAAAATGGCCCTCTATCAGAACCATTTATTTGTTAAGTTTAAATTAACAACAGGGATTTCGTCCGTTTGTGGAGTTAACCTAACTTCTTACGATACGGACTGACGACAGCCATGCAACACCTGTATTGAAGCAAAAAATACTCCTTATAATTTCTAATAATTTAAAAACTATAATTTTTATACAAGGACTGGTAAGATTTTACGCGGATTATCGTATTAAACAACATGCTTCACTTCGTTTGCTTCGAGACCGACTAATTTTTTTGTTTTCAATTTTGCAATCGTACTCACAAGGCGGAATGGTCAACGCGTTAACCTCGAAACCAGTTATTATTCTGATAACTACCATTCATCGTTTACAGTGAGGGGTTCATGGGTCTCTAATCCTATTTCCTATCCTAACCTTCGTTCCTCAGCGTCAATCATTAATGGTTAACAGCCTTCGCTCCTAGTATTCTACTTAGTATTTACGGATTGAAACACTACTCTAAGTATTATATTAACCTCTTTTTGATTCTATCTTCACTTTATTTTTAAATTCATATGCACTTTACATCATCAGTAACATGAGCTATTTCAAATTGTCAAAATATTGGAAGCAGCCTACAAACCCTTTACGCCTGTTTAAGATGACTAACGTTTGCGTCTCTGGCGTTACCGAGTCTTCTGGCACCAGTATTGGACGACACTAATAGTAAAGTAGTATCATTATTTTCCTTTACCTTATCTTAAAAAAGATTTCAGTTAGCTAGTTCACTCTTTCGAGCATTGACTAATACTCTAGACTGCTGGTAGTTAATACTACTTGGGAGATTTCATCCCCAATGTGGCCATCGGCTCTTTCAAGCTTAGCTTCAGATTGTCGGCTTGGTAGGCCTTTACCCTACCAACAACCTAATCCAAATAAATAGAATCCTAAAGCGGAAAATTTCCTTTCTTAATAAAAATAGCTTATTTTTTACTTTTCTTATTATTAATACCCTAATAAAAATTAAAATTTAATTTTTATATAATTTATTAATAACTATTTTAAGAAATATCCCCGATTTATGAAGACTTTAGGGTATCTTATTTATTATACTCACCTTTACACCTTTTTCTCTAATATTTTTCGAGAAAAAAAGATTTGCATGTCTTAAACTACTGAAAAACGTTCAATCGGAACCAAAATTAAATTCTATAAAAAATTAGACATAAAATAGATTATGTATAAACCATATTATTATGTCGTATTATATTTGCTTATTGCAATATTTACTGTCTCTTTTATATTTATATTTAAAAATTTTTTTTTTATTTTATTTTATTTTTTTTGGCCGTGGTTATAAAATTTTTATTTAGCCCCGATAGTCAAAATTAATTTTATTAGTGGGGAGAATAAACGATTTAAGTTTAATAAAATTAACCCTAAAACAAAACAAAAGCTACGCATTACTTACTAACTGAACAGTGCAATAAAAAAATGAATCTGCAAATATCCTAATTTTATTAGAGCCTACGCCGTACACTAAATATCAATTTGGCCACTTTCGTAGGCTAAAAAATTATAAATAGTTACTTGTAACTATTTATAATTTTTTGAACTGCTGATCTTAGATCTTATAAAATTTTTATAAGTCTTATCTTTGATCAAGGGTAGCAGTAATCAAATTTTGTAAGTGGGAGAAGTTTGAGCACCAGATAAAAAAAAACAAGAGCTATAAAAACTAAATATATCTTCAGCCTTAAAAAATTTTATTTAAAACAGAAAATATTAAGCCCTTGCCTTAAAAAATTTATCACTAACTAATCAAATTTGTTAGTATTTATTGATGCTACCGTTACTAATAAAATTTTTGCTTATCTACGAAGGGCTAAATAAAAATTTGATTAAATATCGGGGCTAAATAAAAATTTGATAAGCCTAAGCTGCTTTAGTCGCGCAAGCGGTCGAAGGCAGCAAGAGATCGTCGCTTGTCGCTTAAGCGGTCGGTATCAGAGATAAAAGATCAGCGCTAGCGCTGATAAAATTTATCCGTAAGGCCAAGCGCAGCAACGAAGCGTAGCAAAGCAGTTAAAAAAAATTATAAATAGTTACTTGTAACTATTTATAATTTTTTTTTAGGGTATCACAAAGCATCATAAATATAAAATTTTTATTTAAGGATTAAATATAAAAAAATTTTTTTTTTTATTTAGCAGGCTAAGGAGAGCAATTTTAGTTTTGATTTATCTTAAAAAAATGTAAGACCGCATGGACTTGAACCATAATCTGTTCCATTATGAGCGGAACGCATTACCAATTATGCTACAGTCTTTAAATTTGTTTTCTTAAAGGATAAACTAAAATATAATTATTCTCTCTTTTATTAGTTATCTGTTATCCGCTACTAATAAAATTTTAAGCAATTTATATAAAAATTTGATAAGCCTAGGCTGCTTTAGTCGCGCAAGCGGTCGAAGGCAGCAAGAGATCGTCGCTTGTCGCTTAAGCGGTCGGTATCAGAGATAAAAGATCAGAGCGACATCTTTGATCCTAGACATCTTTGAGCGTTGCTAAATATAAATTTTTTTTCTTAAAAAAATTTATTAAATAGTTACAAAGTAACTATTTATAAATTTTTTTTAAAAATTTTTATTTAGCCCCGGAGATTGATCTAAAAATTTGGAGAATAAGATAAAAGATCTGCAGTGCAGTGAGGTAAATGAATTTTTAAGGATTAAGACAGAAAACCTTTTAAATTTTAAGGAGGGGGTTGGTTGTGAGTTAGAAATATTGTCTTAAGGATCATTAAAGTTTAAACTATAATTTTGTATATTAGTGCTAGTAAAACGATATTTTACTAAAAAAATAAATTTACCTTATTAAAAAAATTTATATATAAATTTGATTAAAGGATAAAAGATCAACAAAAATTTTACAGAGGTATATTTATAAATTTTGATTTTTTTTAGATAGTTATAAAGCAAAAAACATAACTAATATAAAATTATAGTATACTGAGATTTCGCTAAAAATTACAAGTAAACATAGGTTTTTTTTAGAATTACTAAATATTTCAGTTTTTAACAAAATAATAAATATTAAACATACTTAAGTGTTAGATATATTTATTATATTTTAATTAAGAATAACCGATCAATAAATTAAATTGAAATTAAAAATAAAATCTTTCTTTATTTTAATAAATATTTTTTTTTTAGGAGGGAATTATAAATATTTTTTTTTTAATTGCCACAATTTTAACTGCTCTATTAAGATATTTCTCATATTTACTTAAAACCTTGACAGGATTTTACCTAGATGCCAATAAAGGTAAAATTACAGTTTTTAGACATCATAACTCTCTTTTAATAGTGAAAAATTAGTTTGCAATTATAACTTTTCAGAGCGAAGCCGAAGCAAAAAAAGATAATCGCAGAAAGCGCCCCCAAATAGTAACAAACCTGAAAAACTTAGGGGATTATAGTTTATAAGACTAGTTTGCTGCAGCCTGATACCGCTTTCTTAGACCCCTTCCCTACAAAAAAGGATAATTTAATTATAATTTTTTAAGGCACCGCTTTGATCTTTGATCTAATAAAAATTTTAAGGGTTAAAAATTTAACCGTAAGGCCAAGCGCTAAGCCGTAGGCTAACAAAATTATAAAGAATTACTTGTAACTCTTTATAATTTTTTGTTTGTTTGCTGGCGTAGCCCTTATAAAAGATCGGGCACCGCTTTGCTTGGCCGCGAGATAACAGATAACAGAGGAGAGGGTGGAGAAACTAAGCATCGCTTCGCTGCTTCGCAGAGCAAGGGAAGAGTTACTTATGGGCGCATTTAGTGATTATCTTTTTCTTGTCATTTGAATTAATGGGGCTAATGGGTAAAATAAGAGACTCGAACTCTTTTCATCGTTGCCACAAAACGTCATTCTGCCAATTGAACTAATTCTACCTCTTTTAAGTTTAATATTTGTTTAAGTTATAAATTAATTAAACCAAAGGCCATTATGTACTGTATTATAATGAGATATCTTTTTTTTTAGATATTGTATCTTAATTTGGAGGTGTTTATTGTTCTTAAGAGGCTTTACTTAGGTTTAGCTGAGTCTTCTTAGTCCTTTTAAATTTGAGTCTTTCTTTAGGTACACAAATAAATTTTGATTTACCTAGCTTAAGTATTTAAGTTTTAACTTTTAAATTTAATCATCTAACTAGCTTAAATTAACGACTAAGCTGATAAGATAAAAAAATGCCGCTTACTAGCGTCCGTTATTTACTCAAAGAAATTAAAAATTGAAGCTGAGATTAAGCAGATCTAAGGGTTTAGGGAAAATTAAATCTACCGTAATTCTAGCTTAACTAGTTAAAAAGGGTAGAGTAGTTATTAAATATCAAAAAAGTTGAAAAAAAGGGGGCTTAGGTAAATAATATTTCATTAAGGAATTTTCCAAGTAGGTTAATCCTTCAACAGATATCTGTTAATTTTATTAAGTCCATCTTTTGACCATTGTAAGTTTTTTAACTTAACATTCAACGAAGCTCGCGCTGAAGCAGTCGGGTATCAAGCGCTACCCTAAAAAAAATTTATCATTTTTTTAAGGCTATCAATAAATATAAAAATTTTATTAACTAAAAAAAAATTATAAATAGTTACAAGTAACTATTTATAATTTTTTTAACTGCTTCTTCGCTGCTCTGCTTCTTCACTCGCTTAAGCGGTAGCAGCGAAGAGCAGCGAAGAGTCTGATCTTTGATCTCGCGGCCACGATCAAAGATCACAAAGCGGTAGCGGTCTCAGACAGACAAGATATAATTAATTAGACGTTGAGGACTGGTAGTTTGCAAAGCAAACCCAATAATAATAAATAGCCACAATTAAAGTAATCAAAATTCCAAAAGGATAGACATTAAAAAAATTTTTGCCAGTATCTAGTTGATTTACTATTAGAAAATTAATTTTATTAAGTTTTCAGTTGAATATTTTATTTATAATTCTTAAAACTAATAAGATAACCGAGGACATATAAATAAAATATTTAATCTTGTAGCAAACTAGCGAAATATAAGAATAGGAAAAGAAACTAAACTAAAGTAATATAAAATGAATAAGTTAGTAATATCACTGCACTGCTCTGCGCTTATAAAATTTTTATATATCGGTTAAAAAAAATAATAGTTATCTTTGATAACAATTATTTTTTAAAGTCAAGCGCTAGTTAAAAAAATTATAAATAGTTACTTGTAACTATTTATAATTTTTTTTAAGGACGCTACGACTACGGCAGGAGTTAAAAAAATTTATTAAATAGTTACAAAGTAACTATTTATAAATTTTTTTTTAGCCCGCAAAAATTTTATTAGTTAAAAAAATTATAAATAGTTACTTGTAACTATTTATAATTTTTTTTTAAGCGCTAGCGCACAGAGGCAAAGGGGGAAAAAAAATAAGTCTAAAAATTAGTGTTTACTAGGGAAAGTAATAGTAATAAGTGTAAATAAGAATACAATTAAGTGTCTTGTATCAAAAATAGAATTTTCAATTAACAATGAATTAAATAGTACAAAAATGATACTTAACAATGCTAAAACTATGTATAATGCATAAGTTGTAACGATACCTGTATCCAATTTACTAATATTAATACCAGTATTAGTTAAGACATTAGCTAAACCATAAGGACCTATAAGTTCAATCACACCTCTATCTAAAACTTTAGAAATTATATAACCAAGTTTTAAACCACCACCAATAATATAGTTATTATATACAACATCGAACAGATATTTACCATTTAAAAATGTGTATATTTCTCTACCTAAAGAAGTTTCAGTTAAATTGATTATAAAATTAGGTTGGTAATGATATAAGTAGACAGCAGTTAAAGCACCCAATAAACTTAATATCGCTGGTAATAATTTAATTAATAAAGGTAAACTAAATTCAGCTTCTATTAAATTGACATTATTAGGGTGGATAAATAGGGAGTTACCAAAGAAATCAGAACCTACACCAACAAAAATATCCGAAGCAAAATATCCAAATAATATACTAAATAAAGCTAGTATAAACAAAGGTATAATAACGGCTAAATTTGCTTCATGAGAATTTAAATAAGATGTTTTAGGACCATTAGGTACTGTTAAGAATACTAATGAAATTAATCTAAATGAATAAAAAGCAGTTAGACCTGCAGTTATGCTCCCTAGAATATAAGCATATGTACCACTAAAGCTGTATTGTCCATAAGCTAATTCTATGATTAGATCTTTAGAATAAAAACCAGTTAAAAAAGGAGTAGCTAATAGTGAAAGTGAACCTACTAACATTGCTGTATAAGTAAATGGTAAAAAGTTAACTAAACCTCCCATTTTTCTAACATCTTGTTGATCAGCAAAACTATGGATTACTGCACCGGCACCTAGGAATAATAGGGCTTTAAAAAATGCGTGGTTTACAACATGCATTAAAGCTACATTATATTGTGAAAGACCTACTGCCATGACCATATAACCTAATTGAGAAATAGTACTGAATGCAATAATTCTTTTTAAATCATTTTGTACTAGACCACAAGTTGCCGCAAAAAAAGCTGTAGAAGCCCCTACAAGTGTTATAACTAATAGCGCAGTACTACTATATTCTAGTATTGGTGAAGATCTAACTAACAAATACAATCCTGCCGTAACTAGTGTGGCCGCATGAATTAAAGCTGAAACAGGTGTAGGCTTATATAAATATCCTATAACTTAAAAAAAGCTAAAATAGAATATTTATTTAATGGACTTTATCTTCAGTTTTTTTTTTTACGATTAACGTAAAGTCTCTGAGGGTTTATTTTTAATTTAGTCCCCTGCTAATTTATACAATTAAACTTAAAATTTTTACTTTACTAGAAAAAAGTATTCAAGATTTTAAATATTTTAGCATATAGTTAATTATTTAAAGTTAAAATTTTTAATTTTACTTAAGGAAGGCCCTACATTTTTTCTTTTGACTCTTTTTAGACAAGTTAAATATTTAACTTATAATACATTGAAGGAATAAGATGAGGTTTAACTATAGTTCTTAATAGATCTATATTTTCATATTTGCTACTAAATCTTATTCTCCAACATATTTCCTTATTTGATTTTGTTCTACGTTGTACTGTAGCTGTTAAATTAAATTTAGATTTAAGTACTGTAATTAATAACTCTACTTCAGATAAAGTAAAATTATCTGTACAAATTACCACTGTTTTAGCGGAATTATCCCAATAACCATCACCCATAATCCAATGTGCTATTCCTATAGTAGTTAGTAAATATCCAATATTCAATGGTACAATT